CCTAAAATGAGTGACACAGAGTATAATAAAAATAACAAATATTTTCTCTCTAAAAATAAATTTATAGAGAAGTCGATTCTATAAATATATACAATGATAAATCAATAAAAATAATAATTTTTAATAATTGGATCGTCATAGTTGAATGATGAAAGCAAGAACGGATAAAAATTAAAGGGGAATCGAACCAGCTTGTTTTGTCTGTCGTTCTCATGGTAAAGCATCCTTATTCCTCATTATTTTTTCACTAAACATCACGAAATTAATGCACCAATATCGCTTTCAATATGTAATACCCTGAATGATTAAGAATAAGACTTTCAGTTCCATTCATTGCTAGGTTTACCTCTAGAACTTTCCTACGAGAAGATGAAATTTTTCTTTAATTTCCCGTCCCGTCTCTCAATGTCGAGGTCAGACAAATGTTTTGGATACCAACGATACTGAAAAGTGTCAAGAAAAAAAATCTTAAATTTTGTTAATGTACTATGGAATGGTCCGAGTTTCCTTGAATTAATCCAATTCTCATCATTTCTCTCTTGAGTAATTCTATTAATAGTGAGAACTATCAGTAGTCATCTTACGTGACATACATGTAGCAGTTTGTTATTTGATACATGAATTAATAAAAAACTACTACATTAATACATCAAATAACAAACTGTCATATGCATGTCACGTAGAACGACGATCGCTAGTACTCACTATGAATAATATAATTATTTTCTCTTTATGTGTATTATGTTCTTCAACAACATGAATTCTCTTGAGCAGTGCAAAATAGTAGATGATGCTGTGAACAGTCTTTCCCGGGAGATGTTGGCGCTATCAATGTCCTGCTGCATGAATTTCTAGAACCTAAAACTTCATTGGGTTTGTCTACGTGTACATAATAATGTTCACACCCTCACATTGAACAATGTCTTGCTGCACGAATTTCTAGAACCTGAAATTTCATTGAGTTTGTCTACATGTACATAATGATATCAACACTCTGAATGTCCATCCAATATAAGGGTGTGGACACCATCTCCATTCAATGTGAGGGCGTGGACATCAGTATGTATATAAATTATGTACAAATAGCATATTTCAACTTTATTTTAGATATGCCGATGACCTTGGTGATGCAAGGCGGTGCACACTTCTATTTTATTTTACAGAAAATGCATTGCCGTGGTGATGCGATTTACACCCGCAAATACTCAATTCGAAATCTCAAGATTTGTATTGATTGTGATCCTAATCACATGCAAACCATGTGAGACTTTAATGGCATTTTTAGACTGAAGGACTCTATTGCTATAAAAAGTAAAGGTTGGTGACCGTAATTTTCACTTTCAAAGTAGCATCCTTAACATACCAAGTTATCCTGTATAAA